AGGTACCACTGCAGCGGGAAGGTCAACAGTGTTTCCGTGCGCTCTGGCACTTGTCACAGTGTCAAGTTTTGCCAGAAGTGGTTTAGTCATTCATGCTGGCCACATGACCTGGAAAGCTGTCTGTGAACAAACACCAGTTCCCTCGGCCTCAAAGTGAGATGAGTGCTGCAACCCCATAGTCGCCTCTGACTGGACTGAACTTACCAGGGGTCCTTGATCTTGACCTTTCTTTTTTTTTACTGAGGTCATTAAGTAAGAACATTTGTGGCCAAGTGGAGATTCGAACCCAGGCAGCCCCAATCCAAGACCTGAACTGTAACTACTACAAAATTTGGCTCTCACCCGTATGCTGCTGTGTGCACTTTTCAGGTGCCTGACAATGCCACCAGATGCAGCATGCTTTTCAATACCACTTGCTGGGAATCCCAAGTGAAGAGAGTTATGTTGCACTCAGGTCCTGCCTGGGGGCTTCTGATGGGGATCTGGTTGGCCACTGCGAGAACAGGATGTTGGTTCCTGGGTCTAAGGTTCCCAACCCCTGGTCTGGTGGGGGAAACTGGGTTCAAATCTTCACCCAGCCATGAAGCTTGACCTTCGTACAGCCTTCATTCCACCATCACCACCCTCTGTCCCTAAACTATAGCACTGAGCTATTGTGAAGATAAAGGCAGCATATGCCTCTGTGGAAGGGAGATGGATAGGATGTTTCAAGTGGGAATTACGGATTCCAAAAAAGAGCAGCATTGGGAAATTCTCAAAATTCTCCTGCATTTTAGGTGTGGTACTTAAGTCTAGCTGGATTTAAGCTGTTTTATCTTTTGGCCAGGTCATTCTTTGTAGCTTTGTAATAAGTGAATGGGGCACAGACTGCACACACACACACACACAGAGAGAGAGAGAGAGAGAGAGAGAGAGAGAGAGAGATCAGGGGATATTATTTGCTGCTGAGCTATCTTTATCTGATAGCTCATTTTCCCCATTATTACCAGGTTCCATTACATCGGTAATAATGCATAACTAAATTTTTTACACTAGAAGGAACATTTTGAAAATTAGACCCCCCCCCTTTTTTTTGCCTTAACAGTTTTGTTTCTGAGATGAATCATTTTGTAGAGAGGCTAAGAGAGAAGTTGAGACATATATTTGTCTCTGTCAACTACATTTCTAGAAAGATTTAAAGAGAGTTACACTTTGCCTCTGGACAAGGCAGTGGTTAAAAGGTTGCATTAAGATCTAGCAAGGATGCAATTTGTGTGAAAGAGCCTGGATGAAAGAGAAAAGGGTCTGCATGGCCTGGAATAAATCCTTCCACCTGAGCACTGTGGTATTTTATCAGCAGGAGAACGGTGCGGTTAAAGCTGTGCTCTGCAGTCCTGCTTTGCAGGATGAAAGCATCTCATCCCAACTCCTTTCTGAGGTTTCTTTCGACCAAGGCCTGCCTCCACTCCCTTGAACTCCCTTTCTTTTCCCCTTGAAACGCTTCTGCCTTTGAAAGATATACTTATAATTGTGTCTCCAATGGAAGCTCCATGTGTAATGGCTTCTGCTGATGAGAACAGAGGTTCCTAAACTGTGGGACAAGGTGGCAGGTGGTGAAAAAGAGACTTTGCACAAATAACAACTGCTGCTCAGCAGCCTTTCTGTAAAATGGGAATGACGTTGACCTCTGAATATGGACTAAATCTACAGTCCTATGAGATGGATCAGCTATTTCCCCTTCATGCCCATTAGAGAAGCAAAGGCTGTAAATCAGGGAAGAGGTAGCTGTTGTGAGCCAATTCAGATAAGGCCTCAACCCACCAGTTGAAGGCCAAGGCTTTGGTTTACCCTGAAGATGGAGATTCAAATTCCTGTTTGTAGTGCAGGGTGGATACAAGGGTGGACTTTGATCTTTAAAGTTTCAGTGGGGCCCTCTGCAAGGCCAAAATTTGGTGCTCTCTCACCTCTTGCCTTCTATTCTGCTGAATTCACAGCATCATAGTTGTGATGCCCTGCAGTGCCCACTAGGCTTGGCAGCCAGTGTGGTGGACCTGGTCACGCTGCCCTATCTGGTGGATAGATGGGCTCTTATTCACCTACTCTCTCCAGCAGGGATGTGTGGGGTCTACACACACCCCTCACACACAAAGGCCACCTAAGAGAAACAGTGTTACTCTCATCAAAACTCATAGCTTCTCTTAAAAAAAACAAGCAACAACAAAACCATTGGTTGTTTTGAGCAAGCACATTTGTGTAAACATTATGTTTTAGGTGAAATTTAGTAGCACTTCTAGCTTCAAGCCTTAGCTATTTCAACCCCCCCCCAAAAAAAACAACAACAACCCACCTTTCAGCAGTCTGAAATTACCCAGCGAGGCTCTGCTTGCAACCAAAGTATGATAAAAGTATTCTGTTGCTTGTGACTGTCTCGGGAATGGGCAAACAATATAAAATGGCAGTACCTTTTCCAGATTTCTTTTTGGGGTGGAGGCACTGGGCAAGATGTTCTTAGTGGGCTCCTTCCTGGTTGTGCCTACCTCTTCTCCTGCCTAACCACAACTCTTGGCAGTGCCCATTCATTTGACTCTGCCTTTGGACCCAGTCTGCACCACCACCTGGAGAAAGAAAGAAAGAGGGAGGGCTCAACCATGCAGGAAGTCTTTGCTTCTCCTGCTCAATCCTCTCACTGCCCCCTAGAGCAGATAAGTCACGCAAACAAGCAACAAGGGCGAGAAGGAGGTGCTACGCAGTGGCCCCCCAACTGCAATGGGGGCCTGACAGGTGCCTACTAGTGCTGCCTGCTGACACCAGCCTCATAAATCATTTTGCGAATCAAATGTGCAGTGCACATGGCAGCAAATTTCTGTTTCAACTGCTTTTCCTGTGTAGTTGGCATTTGGGTAACCATCTACAAAGAAGCATGTGTATTTTCTGTGTGTGTGTGTGTGTGTGTGTGAGAGAGAGAGAGAGAGAGAGAGAGAGAGAGAGAGAGAGAGATGGAGGCAGTGGGAAAGGGAGCTATTTCCCACTAATTTATTTTCCCGTTTAAGGAGCCCTTCCCAATTTTGCAGATGATCATTTCCCATGCACAGCTCGCAGCTTGTTTACCAAGGTGAAGGTTAATTGCAAGGCACAGAAATGCCACCACGGTGCTTTGCCTCTATTCTCCCCCACCCCACCCCAAGCCGCTCTTTTGTCTCAGCCACCCTGATCGAGGGAGTGTGGAATTGGCCCCTTTGATAGCTACCTTGGCAGGGCCACATCCCTGGCTGTGAGCAGGCAGGTTAACACGCTGCTGCCAGTTCTGTAGTCAGAAGCAATCAGAATCTCGGCTTGAGAGAAATCAAATGAATAGAGGAATTTTTTATTTTTTATTTTTGGAGGGGGGACGACGAGACAGCTAAATCATTGGGCTGCCAGTTCATTTATCAGAGGCAGACTCCTTCTCCAGTGGGAAGGCTGGAGTTTGGAGGGACACTGAAAGAGGGCCTGTGATGCATAGATTAATCCCCATTTTCCTTCTATACATTTCCTTTCTTTTCTTAGAGGATGCTGCTGGGCAGGAACATTTTATCTGGCAACTCTTGTCTGTTCTGAATGGACTGTCGACCTTTGCAAATCAGAGTCTCTGTCACACTATTATTTCTGGCTAGCTTCCACTGTCAGTTTAACTCGTGTCAGTCCAGAGTGATGTATGGGTGTTTTTCACAATAGATACTTCTGAAAATGAGATCAAAACATAGGTGATAGTTTTACAGACTTAAGAGGCAAACTTTCTCCCGTTCCTTTGTGACTTTCTCCTTTCTGTATTGGAAACATGTGCAAATTTGCTGTTTTCTTCAATGTGCATTCTGTGTCTCTCATTTGCAGCAGGACTTTGCTGAAGAACTATCAGCTGTGAAATCTGAAAATATATAAGCTTTTGCCAGTAGCTGTTTCCTCCTACCCTTCTATTAACTTGGAAATTAATAGAATCATAGAACTGTAGAGTTGGAAGGAACTACAAGGATCATCTAGTCCATCCCCCTGCAATGCAGGTATCTTTCACCCAGCATAGGGCTTGAACCCACAACCCTGAGATTATGTGTTCCTATCCCTCCTTCTATGCAAATCCCATTTATTCCCTAACTTGGTGCCCTTCAAATGTTTTTGACTCCCATCAGCCACAGCTAGCATGGCATCCTATTTGGAGGAGAATTGAGATACACATGTACAGTCATACCTCGGGTTACAGATGCTTCAGGTTGTGTTTTTTTCGGGTTACGGACCCGCCGAAACCTGGAAGTACCGGAATGGGTTACTTCTGGGTTTCAGGGGTCGCGCATGTGCAGAAGCGCTAAATCGGGCTTTGTGCATGCACAGAAGCACTGAATCACAACTCACACGTGCACAGACACACCGCTGCAGGTTGTGAACGCTGCAGGTTGTGAACGTGCATCCCACACAGATCATGTTTGCAACCCGAGCGTCCACTGTACTAATAATAACGATTTCCCTGCAGTGGGGTGGGGTAGAATCCCTGCCCATAAATGGGACAGGACATGTGCAATTGTCAGCATATGCAAAAGAGAAGCAACTTGGCACTATCCATTTTGACCCAAAACACATTGTAACTTTGCATCACTGGGCATGATGCAGGACCATGTATGTTTTGACTGATCAGTTAGGCTCTTCATTTCTCTGTAGTCCTAGCAGGATATTATCACAGTTATGGCACTGAAGGATCTAGTATTCTGAAGGCTGACTTATGGCAGGTTTGGCCTCCTTTCCTCTCTCCTTCTCAGGATGAGAGTTGCCAATTGCCTGGCTCTGTGTTACGTCTTCCCCACTGTTGAAAGTCCAGGTAAGTTGACAGGAAGCAGATGGAACTTCCCTGCTGTAAATGCCAAGCATCAGTGCCTAAACATCTTTGCCTTCAGAGGCTGATTGCTCCCAAGGAGACCCTGGTGTTTTCAGCAGAGAATTTGTCTCCTCCCTGCTTTTTTATAGGATCTCCCTGGGAAGTGAGCTTCTGCCAGTAGAAACACACACACACACACACACACACACACACACACACACGTGTGTGTGTGTGTGTGTGTGTGTGTGTGTGTGTGTGTGTATACATACCATACTCCTCAAGGTTAAAGTTGAATGCTCTTTCCAGATGGTCTCCATCTGATGCTTTTCATTATTGAGGTCAAACATCCCTGTGTACTGCATCTCCCAGTGCCAAGAAAAAACAAGATGAGGGTGGAGAACACTGCTGGTGGAAAGGGGATAAGAAAGTAGAAAGGGCAAAAGTAGGGACATATGGCTTACTGAGTCCATGTAGCAATAGCTAGCCCTAAGAAATTTGCAAAATTTGTAGGTCTTCCCAGATTGTTCTGTAACCTATTTCTTCTAAACTTTAGGAGAGGGACTCCCCCTCCACCCTACCAGATTGTGCCTTCAGCAATGGTGGTTATCTCAGCTCCAGGGCCCAAATTATTTTCATCCAGAAACAGCCTGCTAAAGATAGCTCTTTTCTTTCCCCCTCTCCAAATCTTCCTTCTCCCCTTGAGGCATTGCTCCCCACCCCCATTTTATGGACTGACTTGGAGAGTGGGGTGGGGATATCTTATTTGGACCTGTGTGACTCCATGCCAGGCAGGAGGTAAAGGAAAAGTGTGCCAGACTCACAGCACAGAGATCCACACCAGATCTCTGTACCTTCACTGCACTCACCTGAGTCAATTAAGTATCCTAAAAATATTAGTGCTGATGTTTGATGTTTCTGCCATCACTACATCAATTTCCTACTTACAAGCTTCTATAAACCGGATCCAGTGAAAGTTGGGCTCTATGGGGAACTATGTCTCGGACATGGAGAATCAGCACACAGAAACACCTTCTTGTCTCAATACCCTGAGGGTTGAAAATGCCTCCTTACAAGCTATCTTCCCTGGAATTGAAAGGACACAGAGCTGCTGTGCCCGATTGTACTTACATCTACAATGCTCCTATGGGCTCTCACTTTCCCCATACCAATTGTCCCACCTACAAAAATTAAATGAAAAGCATATTGTTGCATGCCACCCCAATAATTGGAAGGGGCTTGGGGCATTATCCAGACTGAGTCCCATACCCCAAATGCATAACGCTATATCATCAGGATCTGGTACCAATGGTGGGAATAACAGAAGGAGACAAAGGAAAATTATAACTCCTGACCATGACCTCTTATTTTAAATCCTTGCTGGTTGGTATTGTTCACTCAACGTTTTGATGTATCTGTCCTTTTCCATTGTATTTCCCAATCTGTATAGGTCATGTCCATTTTATTTTCTGCTGGAATGTCCAGCTCTTAGGCCTCTAGGTCATTTGAGGTTTCATGGCTGGCTGCCGCTTTCCTTTCCTTTGATTAATCTGAGATGTGATGGAAGGAAATCTCCAGAAATGCTACTTGCTATCAAGTCTCCTATCTCCCATTGTATTTTATACCAGGTGCAGAAGGAAGCATTGAGCTAGGGAAGTCTCGCATGAGTGACTCACTAGATTTCACTGGTGCATCTCGCAATTTCACATAGTTTGGAGGAAGTTTCAGCTCTGACATGTTCAGATATTGCTCTGAAATCTTGCTCACATATTGGATTTACAGTTATTCATCTCAATAGCATATGGAGAAATTCGGCTCTGGTCCTTGGGGATCTATGGAAGCGATTTGTTGACTGCCAAGGCTCTCAGATGTGAGGGAGGATAGGACTCCAGTTCCCTTTAATAATTGTTTGAGACATCTCAAACCTGATGCTTCATTCCAGTGGGTATTTCTGCTTTCTAGCACACTGGCATCCAGGGACGGCACATCCCTTTTCACCACTTGAGGAGAAACAAGAAGTTCTGCCTTACCCTGCTGCTGCCACTCCCACCACTACTTACCTGCTCCTGCCATCGCCACCTGCTCTGACACTGCAGTGCACACGCACACCTGGGGGAGAAGCATCACCACCATCAGCACTGATTTCAGGCAAGATCACACTGGTTTTGGGGTGAGATCTTGACCAAATTGTGTTAGATCTTGCACGATGCACAAGTTCTCACATGATTTTGGCTGAAATTTTGCCCAAAATAGACCTGATCTTGCCTGAAACCAGCGCTGGTGTCTGTGATGCCTCTCTGCCACTGAGCTTGCCACCTGGGGGTGGGCTTCTGCCAGCTGAAGCATTGGCCTCACCCTGCCTAATAGCAGGGCCAGTTCTGCTGGACTCACATCTACAAGACACTTATTTGCTAAAGCAAATGTGGAACTTTGGTCATGCAGATCTGATTTATAGGTTGTGTACACTTTATTGGCTTGAATTGCAGCTAGGTCATGTTTTTCTCAATTCAGGTGGGGAAAACCACATCAAAATTCAGTACAGTAGTACTTCGGTTTACAAAGTTAATCCGTTCCGGAAGTCCGTTCTTAAAACAAAGCATTCTTCAACCAAGGTGTGCTTTCCCATAGGAAGTAATGGAAAATGGATTAATCCGTTCCAGACTATGAAAAACAACCCCTAAAATAGCAATTTAACATGAATTTTACTATCTAACAAGACCATTGATCCATAAAATGAAAGCAATAATCAATGTACTGTACTATAAAATAAATAAGACAGTATTGATGATTTTAAAAAATAATAATAATGAAAATGTGATTTTTTTTCTTACCTGCACTGATGATAGTCATTGTTTGGCTGGGAGGTCGGGGTCCTCTTCCAGATTTACCATCAGTGACTGCCCTCCCCCCAGCAGCGGAGGCCTCCCACGGCCAGAGCCCTCCGGCAGTGGAGCATGTTCAGCCTCCGAGGCAACGTTCGCAACTAGAACACCCACTTCTGGTTTTGCGGAGTTCATTGTCCGAGGTGTTCATTAATAGGACTGTTCATAGAACGAGGTACCGCTGTATTTCATAAGAAACAACAGGATAGATTCAGGATAGATGTGGGTGGTAGCTAACACTGTGTGTATACCATTTGCTCAATCATCAGCTAGAGTAAACTGGATGGTGAGTAAACAGGAGTGGGTTCATAGCCATAGTTGTGTATTGCATGTGTTTTTATGCTTTAGCTGGTTTAATTATGCATCCAGGCTTGCTTTCTTTTCCATAGATCCAATGGTCATAGTTTCAAACCTGTGACCTGTTTAGGACACTTACCTGCAAGATGGAATTGTGTTTCCCTCCAGAAAACAGTTAATCGCAAATGTTAGTGAGTCGCCTATTAGTTGTACTGTGTTCCCTAATCTTATATATTATGTTGCATTCCAACACAACAAATTAACCATGCACTGTCCTCATAAGATTCCCCCACCCCTGGACCACCCTCCCTTTCTTCTCTTGTCCTAGGAGAGAACCTACTGCAAGCATGCATTGAGAGCCCTGCCAGGAAGCAGTTTAGAACCCTGATAATAAAATTTTTATTACCAACACCAGCGTGGAGCCTGAATTCCGCAGTCAAGGTTCAACAGACAGCAGAGAGTATGAGATCTCCGTGCCCTTCACAGTGGAGTTTCTCACTAAACAAAGGTTAGGGAAGCCTAACAGCTCCCTCTCTAGGCTTGCCACGCTGCACTTTCCTGAGGAGTCCAGTCGCCAGAGGGAACACTTACAGTTCTGACCTTAAAGAGCAATTTCAAGCAGGAACAGAGTGGCTCAATTGTTCATAAACCTGACATTTATGTCTGGCAGACTCTTTCACTGCAGGATGTGTAGCTCTTTACTGTTCCATCAGATGGAATGAAATGCCCCCTCACTAACTGTCCTGCCTCACACTTCTCTCCTAACATCTCTGAGTTAATTCAACAAGTCAACTCAATTGTAGAGCTATCAAACCAATCTGTCTTAGAAACACAGGGGTACCATATACTGGTCCGTCTAGCTTTGCATTGTCCAAACTGACTGGCAGAGTTTTAGGCAGGGGTCTTTTCCCAGGTGTGTTGGATTGAAACTTGGACCTTCTGCATGCAAAGCCCCATCTCTGTCCTATGCTTCAGTTCTGAGTAGGTGAGAGGCGCTTTAGGTCAGAATCACCATCCCGAGACTTATTGCACTGCCAAGTCTGAGTGTTGCACCTCAGAATCACTTGTGATGCTCCAGGGGATACTTGAGAACATCCCATTTAGATTGTGTTGGGCAACATATTGTTTGAGAATTGCAGCCCAGCTTCATCTCTGCAAGTGTAAGGGATCTTGGAGTGTGAGGAAAGGATGACCAGCCATCCTCCATTCTGTACCTTTATTGCATTAGGGGCTTGGAAGCTGATTTATTGCAAGTCGAAACATTGGTCCATCTCACTCAGCATTGCCTATTGTGTCAGGCAATGTCTTTCCCAGGTTTCTTTCCCAAAGGAGGCAATGGTAGCCACCAACCTGAATGTCTTTAAAATAGGATTGGACAAATTCATAGAGAACAAGGCTATCAATAGTTACTAGCCACAATGGTTATTTTCTGCCTCCACAGCCGGAGGCATTAATGCTTTTGAAACTACAGGAATGGTGGGGAGAGTGCTCTTGTGCTTGGGTCCTGGCTGAGGGTTTTTCACAGGCATCTGTGTCACTGCTCTGAGAACAGGATGCTGGACTTAATGAGCCATTGGCCTCATCCAGCAGACTGTTCTTATTTTCTTACTACAATGCAAATTCTCTCCCATTCCCTTAAGAAATGCCATTAAAGCCATCCTTCTAACGTAGCTTACAATAAATAAATAAATAACAGCACACACACACACACACAAATTACCTATTTTCTTTCAGGCAACAAGCACCCCAACTTTATGTGCCAACCCTGGCCTTCCATGGTGTAAAGACAAAGACTGGAGAAACCTGCTTTCTGCTTCCCTTAATCTACTAGTTTTGGCTCTAGAGGAGAAAGTGTTCCCTTGAAAGTGTTAATTAGAGTCCGGACCAGGAGATCCATACACCTGCTAATAGCAACTGTGGCTGAACTTGAGGGAGCCTTTGCATTTTAATTCTTTTCTAACACCTCTGCTAATCAACACTCCCTGCCCACGAGTGAGGAGCAGAGCAAGCTGGGGAGAAAATGGTATGAGCTCAGATTCCATGTTTTGTCCTTCTGAGGTCTTGTAAGAGAATGCAGAGGCAGGTTGGT